GAAGGAGGGGGAGAAGAAGAAGAAGAAGAAGAAGAAGAAGAAGAAGAAGGGAAGGAGGAGGACGAGAAGAAGAAGAAGGAGCCGAAGAAGTTGAAGCAGCGAAGGTGGAGAAGAAGAAGAAGACGGCTGGTGGAGGACGACGGGAAGGGGGGCTCGAAACGTGGGCAAAGAAGAAGAAGAAGAAGCGAAGTAGAAGAAGACGAAGCAGCGAAGTAGAAGAAGAAGAAGAAGAAGAAGAAGAAGAAGAAGAAGAAGAAGAAAGATGACGAAGAAGAAGAAGAAGAAGAAGAAGAAGAAGAAGAAGAAGAAGAAACAAAGATGACGAAGAAGAAGAAACAAAGATGACGAAGAAGAAGAAGAAGAAGAAGATCTCTCTCTCTCTCCCTCCCCCCAACTAAGTCCCTTACCTTGTTGAAGGCGGCCGTTGGCGGGCGACGGCGGGGTCACGGGTGATGGCGGCCGCTGGCAGGTGGTGGCTGGGTGCGTCGGAGAAGCGCGTTTGCGCGTGGAAGGCCGGCTGACACAATGCTGCAAGGCAGGGAAGGGGGGACGTTCGGGGCACATCTTCAGCACGGGGGAGGGAACGGGGGCCGGCAGTTCCCGCCCTCACCGATTTAAAATCGGTGCAATCTGGGCCATCGATCTTGGAGATCGATGATCCATATGGGGCCTGATTTCAAATCCGTGAAATCAGGCCTACTGGACCCCTTTTTTTTTTTTTGAGGCCCACACGGTCTATGAAGGGGGCAAAAAAGGCCCCAGCGCCGAAAAAAAAAAGAGAAACTAACCTACAGTGATGCGCTGGGGTTGCCCGGTGGCCAACCACGCGTGACAACTGGCCAGGGGGCCGGTACCCCCCCCGGGTGACGGCCAGGCCGCCGGGCGGCCCGGGGACCAGCCTCTGTTTTTTTCCTATAGTTTCCCCTGATGCAGCAAAAGCCGCAGAACCCACCCTACATCCCTGATTTCTCTTTTGCATTTTTTTTCAAGGGAAATGAGAACAGGGGGTGCGGGACGGCTCTTGCTGGTGGTTTGCAATGGTACCACTGATTTGTGTGTTGAATGCTTGTGCAAACTTGAGATTAGTCTCTCATTGCTCCCCTGGTCTGATTTTCCTGTATTGCAGATGGTTTCAACAGCACGTGGTCAGGCTCTTGCGGACGAATTTGGGATCAAGTTCTTTGAGACGGTGTGTATCCGGAAAAGATATTGGAAAACAATTTGATAATGTGTGACGTGGTCCTTCAAATTGTTCCAACATTTTGCATGCACCTAGTTGCATACAGGGTGAAAGGAAGCTGTGTAAGAAGTACTAAGAACTGTACTGAGCGTTCAAAATGCATTAGGTCTTCTTTTCATACGTCTGTGTGCTATGTGGTATTAGAGTCGTGTGAACTTTGCCAGCATATCACAGTTCCTACCGGCACTGGGGTATGGCTTCATGCTGTGGGCAGAGGATGGTACCTTTCTCTGTAGGTGTCCAAAAGAGCAGCCTGGGGCAATTGAACCTTGACTGGTCTCAAGAAGCCCAGACAAAGCTGAGGCCTGCGCTGTGGAACTGGTTGTAACATGGCTAGAGCCTTCCACACAGGCCTAAGGATCCAGCATTGTAACTTGACCTCTCAGCCAGGCGTGTGAACATTTTGGCTGTTCCAAGAACTGTCGTATGTGTAGTTTGTCTGTTCTTTGTCCAGTCTTTGCTGTTTGCTTTGCTTTCGATTCCAGGCGGGTGAGTGAGTAGAAGTTTGTCAGTTCTGAGTCCAGGCTTGTGAGTAAATTTTGTCTGTTATGAGTCCAGGCCTGTGATTAAATCCCGTCTGTTCTTTATCCGGACAGTCCACCAAGGATGCATGTCACTGACGGACTCACCATGTCGCTCAGAGTTATCCGTACCCGGAGAGGGAAATTTTCTCTGTTCTGAGTCCAGGCTTGTGAGTAAATTTATTGAAAGCTGTTCCATCTTGCGTACCGGTGGCAGTTATGTTTGCCTTTGACTCTTCCCTGGTGACCTCTTCTCTCTATCTCACTCTTATCTCTTCTCTCTCTCTCTCTCTCTCTTATCTTTTCTGTCTTCTCTCTGTCACTATTGTGGATCTTCTCTCTCTCTCTCTCTCTCTCTCTCTCTCTCTCTCTCTCTCTCTCTCTCTCTCTCTCTCTCTCTCTCTCTCTCTCACCCATAAGTCCTAGCTGTGGCGCCCTCTGCTGTTGCTTACCGTATTGACTCGTATTGCCTCTCTAAGTCACACTTGAAGTTAGTCGCACAGGCAAACAGCTGATCCTGTGCAACAATTCGAAAAGTGTTTTCCCTCAGCACTGTAGGGGTCTTTTGTTTTTGTTGCGTCTGCAATCCCGGAGTTTTTGGACCGATACCTGTCGGTTTTCGATCTTGCCAGACTTGAATGCTGCTACTATTTTCGGGATTGAGACTTTTGTCGAGGACTGGGATCCTACAGATTATCAGAGAATTACACTGGTGAACTGAACCCTAAGGTGATTCGACCTGAGGGCCGACCGGTTGGACTATGGTAGATGGGACAGGGAACCCTGGCAATTTATGGGACCACACCTGTTGGCGAGGGCAGAAATGAGTGAAACCCTTTCACTCCCACCGACCTAGTTTCAAGCTCCTCACCTATCTGCAATACCGATATCTCTTTTAGCCCGTCCGTAGCAATAAGACCATGTCAAGGTCTGTCTCCTATAGCTCATTCCTAGTGTACCACCTGTCATCCTTGGGTTCCCAATATTGGAAAGGGATCTTATATTGTGGCTGTGGTCGTCCCCTCCTTTCTGACCTCGAGCTATCTTCTTCCAGTCCTGTCTAATATCATACCAACCATTCATGTCAGGGTGAGTTCTTCGTCTTTGTATACCCCCTTCAGCTGTCCTCTCAAGTCGTCAAACTCGCACCACCTGCCACTCAGGCGATCCATCTATGTGCGTTCAACACCAGCCAATCCCCACAAGAAGACAACAAGAGTCAGCTCACAAGTTTGCATGTCGTCACAAGGCCATTGAGACCACACTCATCACACCATAGCTCCACACCTGTGACACGAAGCGCGCAGTATCAGAAATTCGGTATAATTTGTAGCATACTTGTGGCGCGCTTGTGCGCTGCACCATGCGTGCATTGCAGGTGCACACTCATCGCACACATGGTGTTACGGACTCCGCCAGGGCTCGATCCCTGGTCTATCTTTTTGCTGTTTCTGCTGCATCCCGTTTTCGGCCTGGCACCCTTTTTTCCAAACCCCTCCTTTCGTACCGTCGGATTTTGGACAACTGGCGTCATGCTGCAATTCGGGCGCAACTTTCAAATTCGGCATTTTTCAGTTCTGTTCTCGGGGCTTTTGCGGAAATGCCCCTGGTACCGTACGTGTTACCGATACTTGTACCGGCTCCCCGTACAGTACGGGGACCAGTCTCGTACCAGTTTTCAGCTGCTGTCTTCGTACTCAGTGTGTCTTGCTGTTTCGGCATTCGGAATCCAAGACTTCGACTTTGTGCCCTTGCCACTGTGTCTGCGTCCGACCCTCAGTCGTGTCGAGTGAGTGACTGTGTGTGTGTACTCTCACTCTCTCCCTCTCTCTCTCCTCTCCCTCGGCTCTCCCTCAGCCTCGCTCGCTCGTCACCCTGCTTTCTCGTACCCACCCTCAGCCTCGCACTCGTCACACTGGTATTGGAGCATCATCGTCGTGATAGTCGCCGTCGTGCCACGTCATCATCGTCATTGTCGTGATCGTCGCCGTCGTGCCACGTCATCATTGTCATCGTCGCAATCGTTGTCGTCGTGCCACGTCATTATCGTCACCGTCGCGATCGTCGTCGCCGTGCCACGTTGCCATCGCTGTGCCCATCGTCCTCGTCATCGTCCTTGCTACCTCCGCGCAGATAAGTAGTCGACGACAATTCTTTTTATTTTTTTTAATTGTTTCCTCATTCTTCTTTCTCTTCGTTCTCTTCTACTTATCCTTCTTCTTCGTCGCGACTCCGCTCCCGCTCCCGCGCAACCTCCCCTCCCCGACTCTCGATCTTCCTCCCCCACGCACCGTTGTTCCCCCGCCGCGCGATCTTCTCCGTATTCCTTTTCCTCTTCTTCTCCTCTTCTTGTACCCCGCCCCCGGCGCCCCCC